AACAGAAAGTCGTGCTGATCTAGTATCACACCCCAGAAGTGAAGTTGTCAAAATTCAAGTTCGTTTCTTCTTCCTCTAGTCAATGTGCCACAGCTTTCCTGGGTGTTCCTGCAGAAACGAGTCCAGATGTGGCAGGAACCATCCACCTTCTGCAGAAGCACTACTCTGATGAACACAATGCTAGCCAACACTTCTAGAACCTTTGCTCTTAATCACTTGCAACTAGCTGGCAAAGAAGACAGGGATGCACCGTTATCACCTTCCACATCAGCTGCCCCTGTTATTACAAAGCAGGATTCCCACAATAACAAGAAAATATCATAAACAAAACAACAATAAACAAGTAACAAACCATGACAAGTCAATAATATGAGTAGACCTCCCACGGGATTTAGAGCACAGATGATTAGTCTGCAGCACAGGCTCAAACATCACAGCAGTAAAATAAATATCCACTTACCAACAACAACTTTGATTTCTTTAGATTGGTTCATACAATGAGCTGCAGTAAGTACAAAATTTTCATTCAAAATAGTTCCGCCACAAAACTCTTCCCCTGCCTCATTCAACAGAACAGCCTGCGAGAGAAAAGAGGTAAGTGCAGAATTAAGAGGAGCGATTTAACTTCAGTGAACTATAAACAGGTAATTGATTTCTCTGCACACTATAGATATGCTTATTCCTACCACATGTACTCTGCAGGTGTAATAATAATAATAATTCTAGTAATAAATCCTAATCGCACACATGCCTATGCTACAGATTGGCATGTACTGCTGTAGAATCTGGATTTTCTGTATGCAATGCAGATGTTTGGTCTCCACCTCACCTCATTCACAGTGCTTAGTGATGGCTTTTAGCAACGAGACACTGACTGACGAAGCAGGGAGAGTGCAGCCCCTAAACCACCTCACCCTTGGACCTACCACCCCAAAGTATTCCTGTCCAAGTTCTGTTCCCACCTGATATCCACACTGCCACCTTAGTGTCCCTAATACAGGAGCTCCTTTTGGCTGGTCCAAACTCAAGAGGGAAACTTAGACATGAAAGTGTATCTGTGAAGCAAAAGCATGCTTTATCTGACGTGCTCTCTGGTACACTGCCTAAATGGGCTGCTATGACGCAGAACTGGAATATCACCTGCAAAAATAACACCAGCAGGCCAGCATGATTCAAAATCCATCTCTGCCGAAAGGTTAAACAGCAGCACCTAGAACCGCACCAAGCTTTTCATTCTGCCATTTTAAGGCTGCAGTTTGAAGAAGAGCACATCTAAGTTCATGGGTTCAGCTGCCTGCAGGCTACAAACGGCACACTGTACGGGCAACATTCAGAAGGCAACCAGGTTAAAGGAACAACTGCACACGTTCCCTCCAAAACACGTTCTGCTCACATGCAGAGCACAAACACCAGATTTACCTGCCATGGACATTCACCAAGAAGACACTCATCACCACCTACTATCCTGGTATTGACATACGGAGTCTTGCTACTTGTTCCACTGCCAGGACGGGTGGTTGGACTTTCTGTGGTAGTAACAAACTCCTCCTCCACACTTGTTTCATTTGTGGGAGGGCCAGCTTGATCACTAGTTACATTGCTACTATCGGCAGGAAAAATAATCGACCTTTTCTTTCTTTTCACAAAAACTTTTCCACAAGGATACTTCACTGTAAAGACAAGAATGTAGACATTGGACACAGACAGAAACACCAGCTCACAACAAGCAGCTTAACGCAGTTGTCCTGTTCTCAAAACACTAGCAAAACCTTGCAGATGCAACAAAGGAGGAAGATCGGATAGTTTGAAAAATAAAAAAGTCATTTTGTATTCCTAAAAATGTCCATAGGTTCAGTTTCCGGATAGCATTTTTGAAGTATCTAAAATTCAAAATATCATCTTCATTTTTTGACATTGCCATATTCATGTACTTGTTGGGCCACACAATATGGTTCATGACAGCAGTTTGTTATTTGTTAGAGAGGACATAAACACCGACCTCATGACTATATAGTTGACTTATTCTGGCTCCCCGACTGTTGAAATGCAACAAAAATGTACAAATGTAACTAGCATTACTCATAATTATTTAATATCATTGGTTACTATGTCATTAGGTTAACTGAAATCTAAAGTAGAAAAGTTTTTGCAAGCTGCTATTTTATATGGAGTGCAAGTGTTTCAGTAAATGAGATACAACTGCAATCACTTTTCTCCCGTCTACAGTGGAGTTTACTCGGAAATTCACTGCTGCTGGGAGAGGCACCTTGCAAAGGGTCCCAAACCAGCTAGATTTTGACAAGTCCATCGCATCACCTCACGCAGGGAAGGCTTTGGACCTGCAAATCCATTGGTCTCAGTGGTCAACCTATGTCACGTCGAAGCCTGATGGTTCAAAGGACGTCCGTTAACTGTGAAACTGGTCTCACCGCCACTGCTATTATTTTATTACGTGGCCTCATACCTGAGGAAACACAGCGTTTGCCATCCTCTGCTAGAGCATACCCTTTGGCACAGGAACACAAAACATCCTTCTGGGCACTTTTTTTGATGCTGCAGAAGTGCTCACAGTCACCATTGTTTATTTTGCAGTACTTTGGTATGACTGTAAAAGAGGTAAGTTTCGAGAAAAACTGTAAATAAACACTGACTTCTCACAAGATCTCAAAGTTCAC